TTCCTGCCACTTCTATATTTGTTTGTTTGGTTTTTTTTTTTTTAATCTCCTTTATCTTTCTTCATTTGATTATTTCAATTTGTTTTATTTATTCTTCTTCTTCTTCTTCAAAAAAACCAATTTTTAATTCATCAATTACTAACTGCCAATTGACTCTACTGCCATCAAACGATTACTGCCAATTTTTTTATTCCTTTTTATTTTCAATTCTTTGCTATTTTCTTTCCAAATTTTTCTTTCCTATTCTCGTTCATTTTTCTAATACTCTTACTCTATCAATAATAAATAAATAAAAAAAAAAAACAATGATCAAATTTACAATTAAATAAAATAAAAATGATGTTGATGATGATGATGAAGAAAAAAAATTCAACAAAAAAATTGAAGAAGAAGAAGAAGAAGAAGAAAAGATGCATGTGTCCTTGTAGCATACGAACGATGAGTTATCGAGTAAAAAATTCTATCAAAGATTCTTTTATTAATTAATTACCAACAAACAAACAAAATAATAACTATATATCATAGTACACGATGAGATTCGAAAAATTGTTTATACGATTAATTAATATCGTGTATCGAGGTTGACCTCCTCGAAACGGAGTGCCTGATATATAACATTCAACGAGAAACATACACATATGAGTGTGGTACATACACGTAACCAACACGATGACAAAATTAAAAAATTCTTATTGATTTATAATAATAATTGATTAGGATCTATCTATCTAGCTTGTATTTCAATACTTTTTCATTTTTATTTTTTTATTTATTTTTATTACTATCATTGGATAAGTGCATTCGTTAATTTAATGATGCAACAAAAGCTCATTCTCATCGATATTCTTCTTCTTATTATTTATAATAACTTTATTATTATTATTATTATTATTAATAAGTTTTATACTGCTTAGTTAGATATACTTTTTCAAAGTATTAGAAATTTACTTACAAAGTTCTAATAAATATAATTTTAATGTTTTATTAAAATAATGAATTTTAAAATTTCATTTTTCTTTTTTGAAATTAATTTTCAATAGATTTATAATATTTTATTAAATAATAAAAACTAGTATTAGTATTATTATTTAATCCTTATTTTATCTCATAAGGTTGTTCCTTCTTTTTTTATTAATAAATTCATGTGTTGCTAGTGTGTACCACTAATGATGCTTCGAGTTTAATAATCACACATACACATACACGTAAACATACACAAACAAATAGGTTTTTTTTTCTTCTCTCTTTTTGTACGAATTAAAAAAAAAAAAAAAAGAAAGAATGTAAGTGTGAATAAGACGAATAATGTGTGAGAAATCACATATATGTATGATGTATGTGTGATATGTGGGGGTGTACGATTAAAGTATATTGCGTGGACAACACAATTTTATTTGTTAGGTCGATTAAGACCCTTTAAAAGGGTATTAAAGTATAGTATAGGAAGTTAGATAGATTAATTAGATAATATTAGCGATAATTCGCTATGTGAGATACGATGAACAATTGAAATTGAAATTGAAATTGAAATTATTGATATGTATGATGTATGTGTGAATGCGTTTGAGAGAAAGATAAGAAAAAAAAATACGTGAAAAGGTGTGAGTTGTAAAAGAATAAAAAGATATGTCGTAAGTTAATAGTTTCTATTGTAATTAAGAAAAAAAAAAAAAAACGTTAATACGTTTAATGAGCATCTGTAAATATTCCTGTATATTATACAAAAAAAAAACAACAAAAAAAAAACATAACTTTCTGTCCAGCGACCGTGTATCAACGACCTCGACCAATTTCTCTCAACGTGTCCCTTTTTTTCCCTTTTCTATCTGTCTGTCTATCTGTCTGTCTGTCTGTCTGTCATTTTCTCTCTCTTTCTCTCTCTCTCTCTCTCTATTTTTCTCTACTCAATATAATATTATACTTTTTCGAATGAATAAAAAATAATCGTCGAGGTTGGTCCGAACGTGTAAATTATAATTAATAAAAATACTAAATATATTAAAAATAAAATAAAAATTGGAAAGAAAACAAATTTTTTAAATAATTATTATAATATAATATAATTATATATATATATATATATATATAATTTAATATATAATTTAAAAATAATTTTATTAATTATCTCCAAAAAAAAAATGAAGAAGAAAAATATACTGGAATATAAATATAAATATTCTTTACGTAAGTTATTATAAATTATTATTATTATTATTATTATTATTTATATATATTTTTAAACGTACTTATTTTATTTAGTAATACGAGCAGTCGTTATCGTTATCGTTAAAAAGAAGGTAAGTGGAATATATAAAGGAATATTAATGATACGACGTGTACGTATCATGGATGAGTTATCATGTAAATTCAATAAAAAAAAAAAAAGAAAATCTTAAAATTAATTTGCAAAACGATAAGAAGAAGAAATTCTTCAACGTAAAAAGAAATCTATGTAAAAAAAAAAAATATTTTCTCAAATTATTTTACACAACTTCATACATAATATAGACATTTATTTATTCATTTTTTATTTACAAAAAAAGGAAAGAAAAAAGAATTAAAAGTAAAATTTTCTAGACCAAAAAAGCAAAATATTCATATATATATATATAGTTTTGCAATTATTTACGTTTCATGGTTCAACTGTTATGAATAATAACTGATATCGATGCATCGTCAGTTCCTGTGCGCTTGTACAGATTAAAAAAAAAAAAAATGATAGGAGGATAATATTTTATAAAAAAAAAAAATAAAAAAAAATAAATAAATAAAAGAAGATACGATATAGAAACACGCAGAAGTAGAATAATAAATATGATGTTCACATTGGTATTTGCTAATCTGATATACATATATAGGCCAACGAGTGGGAATAATAATATTCATTTCTATATTACTTTATAACACGAAATAATATTACACATTGATTATTATAAAAACGTTTTCAACAAAACGTTGCCTCTTACTTTATGGATTTTTTTTTCTTATTTCTAACAGAAATTATACTATTCCTAGTATTACTGATTGCATATACTTGTTTTCAATTTGATATTCCATAGTGTAAGCTTGCAATTTTACTTGCTTTGCATCTTTAGTTCTCGATTAACGTGATATAAAATTCAACGATGAAAACAAAATTATAAAAAATAAATAAAATCCCTGAAAAACGCGTTGCTACTACAATATTTTAACATTACGCTCGCGTACCTTTTTGTTTTTCATTTCTTTCTTTCATTTTTTATTTATTTTTTTTTTTTATATCTTTCTCGTTTAACTTCGAAGCACAAATGGGTTTTCGTATATTTCGTTGATGTTTTTGGAATCAAAGAACAGGAGCCATCCTATACTCATCTCACTCCCACCCCCATTAACATCGTTTTACAAGCTTCTGGGGTAGACCGAATTAATTATGCGAGACGT